ATTCTAATAAAAAGTTTTATTTATATCTAAATATTATATAGAAACATTTCAACAATAGCTCTTTAGGAATTTTAGAGTCGAAACCAACTTCAATAACTCTAATTAAGGTTTTTCAAAAGAACCAATAACAAGATGTAAGTTATTTCAAAATCATTTCAAAAGTAGACTTGCTCCACATAGGAGTTTTTGATTAGAACACTAGTAGTTAGTAGAGGCAATTGTAACAAATGTAATAGCTCTTATAATTGGACTACAAGATTTGACAATAAAAAAATAAGCTTAAATTTTTAGAAGCTAATCTTCAAAAAAGCTCTTTAAGCTCGTGAAAGAATTCCATCAATACAATTGAGATTCAAAAAATTAATCAACCATAATATAAAAAATATATAATATTAAAAGATGTGGTACTTATAAAATTATAAAAAATCTATATTGCATAAGTAAAAATGCCACTATCGTATTCTATTAAAAATTTGTTCTTAAATTATGAAATTAAGGCTTATCTCACAAGAAATAAAAACCTACCTACAAATATTAGAATTGAAATACAATCCACAATCACTATCAAAAGAAATAATTCTTAAGTTATAATTAGATAATCAAATATCAAACATAATGAAAATAAATAGTAAACAATGTTTTCTACATACAAAGTAAGTGTAAAAATATATCAATTGGAAAACTTATAAATCTAGAGATATTGATATTATTTGATTAAAAATATTATTAGATTTATTTTAAGACAAGGCTAAATAAAAACTTATTAACAAGCAATAGGAAATGAAATCATAGCTTTTATAGGCTTCATATCTCTCTACTTAGAAAGTTATATTCTTATATACTACAAATTTTAATGAATCTTGACTAAATACAAGTTAACAAAATAAAATTCTACCAAAAATAAAATATATATCTCAACTATCAATTATTGTATAATCTTTCTTACAAGAATATGGTACACAGTTTACATCTCTTATTATAAGTTTAACTCACTTGTAAAACATGTATTTCAAAAAATTAGTACCACCATTCTATTTTTAAAAAAAGCCTCCCTTCAACCACCATGCTATTTGAATTAGTACACTTATATTCATGAAGACCTTTTCCATATAAATCCATGACAATATCAAGATATATACTCAAATTTATAGACAACTATTCTTTAAAATCATGATTTTTTTAAACTAATAAAAATAATACTTTTGAGATATTTAAATAATTTTTATACAAAAAAAATCAATCCAAAAATATCACATCTATGTACCAAAAAAAGCATATCAAATGATAAAATTAAAAAAAAGTCATCTTTGTGAAATTATAAAAAATTATTATTAGAAGTTTAATTATCATCTTTTTTATAAGAAGAAGCTATTTAAGCTACAAATCATATTTTAAATCAAATATTGTATCAAGATTTGCATTATATAATATTATTTTAATTTAATTTATATCAAAAACTAAATATTTCTTATTTTAAAAAAATTAAATATTTATCATATTTATACATCAAAAATAAAATTAAACCAAAGTCAAAATCTACCAAAATGATTTTAGTAGGCTATAACAAACAATATAAAGCCTATCATTGTTTAAGTTATATTAAAAAACAGCTAATCATCTTCAAAGATTTAGTATTCAATGAAAGAAAATTTAGGCATGTTTAATCAAAAGAAATTATCTTCATCCAATAATAATATCTTTGAGTCTTTTCTAAAATTCAACATGTCTTTTTCTACTACCTTAAGACAAATACAAAACCAACTAGAGCTTTTAAATCCTCATTCCTTGCATACTTTTAGTCCTCCATATCATTAACTTGGATTGTTGACTAATGTACATTCAACTATGTGTAAAACTTTGCAAATCTCTTTTAAATTAGAAATCTATTTCTTTATTATTTTGTCACCAAAGTTAATCCATGCATCATTTCTTGCAATATCGCCTTTACTACCAAGACAATCTAATAGGATTAAAAAATAAAATATTAAATTAGATGATTACATGTTTTCCATCACATCAAATGAATTTGATATTTACATGATCAATAACTTTTCTAAGCTTAATAGTAATAGTATTACTTTTAAAATAGCTTTTTAATACTATAGTTGGATAAATATTGGGCTTAAAAATTTTAATTCTATTAATAAAAATAAAAATTGGAACTAAGTGCTATTACTTTTTAAAAAAGAATTATTAATGCAGAGTAGATTTTGAAGATAAAACTTATATTTAATCAACAATCATCAAAACCAAAAGTTCATCTTCTAGCAAGATGTTTTAAATAATGTAAAAGAATTGGCATTGATATTGACAAAGTATTTATACTTGAGATAAAATGATATATAATTAAAATTCTAATTATTAAGATTGCACAAAAATAAGATAATATTCATCATCTTGATATTAAAAATATTTTTTTTAATAAAAATCTGATCAATAAAGTTTATTTTGTTCAACTACTAGGATTTGCCACAATAAAAAGCAAGGACCTAATTTGAAAATTAAAAAAGATCCATATGTGGTTTAGAGCAAAGTTTGTAATTGTGATATGAACACATTCAAACATATATCATCTCTATAGGTATGATTAAAAGTTCTAACAATTGTAATCTCTATAATATTGACAAAGATAATAACAAGTTTAACTTTGTTGTTTATGTTGATAATTTATTCATTTATTATGGATAGGAATGAGAAAAAAAAAATATGTGGCTCAAATAATTGAGATAATAGTCTTAAAACTAAGCAAAAAATATTTTGGCTTAGAATTTATTTCCTATCTACAAGAATGTTTTTATTTCAATACTACAGTGCCTTACATGCTTCTTGAGTTTTAAATATTGGATTGCAATTCAAAACATATTTCTTTAATACATAGTACCCATTTTTTAACTAACATAAATTCTCCTCTAACAAATAGTCACAACTTTTTCAAAACAATAAAAAATTATCGTTTTTGAATACAACCTAATTAGACTTAGCATACTTTGTCAATTTAGTTTTCAAGTTTATTTTTAATCTCTAAGTTGCTTATTTGGATGTAATGAAGCACATCTTATGTTATATCAAGAGAATATGAAACTTTTGGATTATTTTATAATTAAAACAAAAATAAGACTATTATAGGCTATATAAATATAGATTGTGCAACTTATCTCAATATTTTACACTACATTGCAGATTCTATAGTCATATATCAAAATAAGAAATAATTGATTGCTTCCAAATATTCTACCAAGTTTGAATACATCAACCTTTTGAATTGTGCTATAGAAGTTACGTAGTTAAACAAATTACTAACAAAAATTGACATGTATTTACTTTCAAAGCTTGTCTTTCCTATTAATTACAAGTCTTGACATCATAACCAATATTACACCAAAAACTTTATTAGTTCACTATGACAATTAATTTGATATCAAATTAACAAATAATTTAGTGTTCTATAAAAGAATAAAACATATAGGAGTATATCACCATTTTATATGTAAAAGAGACTCAAATAGAAGAATATCATTAAATTATATTTGAAAAAAACTTCAACTTACTTATAATTCTTTACAAAACTTCTTTCTTGAACTAAATGAGTTATACAAAGGGACATTAGGAATAAAAAAAGTTTAGTCTATTTAAAAATCTTAGAAGTTGAGATACTTGATAGCATCCTTGATATGCTTGAAACTCTTAAACTTATCTCTTTTAAAATACTTCACATGTTTCTCACACTCTTAAGTATTGCAACACGGATCTAAGCACAAGTTAGAAACAACTCATTATAAGATTTTAAGTTGCTTATTGTAACAAGTAATTGTAAAAAAATTCAAAAAACTAAAGAAGTAAAGACTATCTAAAAGAAGGTTTAAAACAAAATGTTAACATACTCCTTTTTTTTTGAATATAAACAAATTGTTCATCTATTAAATAATAAAATAATATTTTAGTTAGTCAAATCTATACTTGATATCCCAATATAATATATATATCCAAGCCTTGAATTCCTTGAGGTCAATCATATAGTTCATGTTTCAGCACTTCCGTGCTATTTGGATAGATATCAATATTGTTTCACACTCAATTTCAATGTTATTTCACAGGTGGTATAAACTATCATCCCAAAATGTCTAACTCAACATAATTGGTAGAAATTAGATATTTAGAAAAGAAAGATAAGTTGTAATCTTTGATGTTTGCACTTCAATAAGTTGCAATTGTTGCTACACTAGTATATTATTGAACCAAACTATATGTCAAGATCTCTGACATTCCTTTGCATGATTCGCAAAATTCAAAATATCTTACATATAAAACAAAAACGAATCAACCTTAGAAACATAGATAATAAACAAGGAGGTAGTAAAAATTAATGTGTAAATGTTATATCTTTGTAAAAAAAAAAAAAACTTCTTCTTACTTTGAATATTTTTTAATAGACTCCCATCACATCCTCAGTCCCATCACATCCTAAACTGTGAGAACACTTACCACACGAATCCACAAAGAAACATAATTTGACGGTCACAGTAGCCATTACAATCAACCCATCATCTTTTTTGATCGTGCTAAATTTGTGAGGCTAGCAATGTATTTGTCGAAATTTTTGTGTAAACCCCAGCAGTATGACTGCGTTGCATCCACAAGCGACTATGACTTCCAATACTCCCATTGCTTCCACCAAATCCGGACTCTCCGTCCTCCAGAAGAAAGAAGGCAATGCTTGATTTACTCCAAACTTCGGACTTCCCAACTTCGGTTAAAAATAAAATCTGTCTCTCGCAATCTGTATATCCAAGCGTCTGTACCTTAAATACCCAACATCGACATCAGAACAATTAACCCGAAATTGTCACATTTTATATTCGTCACACCTTAGCAAAAACTAACTCGACAATCTCAAATATACATGTAAAACTCCAAACCAACACGCCTAAAGGTAAACTCAAGACTTGCAAGCCAGAGCAGAACACAAAAAATCGCAAACACAATCCACTACAAACATGAGCTTCATCAAATCAACTGTAACCGAGAGCACTCGAATATAAAATGCATACACCCCATTCTCACACCTAACAAAGACGAACCAATCGAACACTCCCTTGTCCACAGAATCCTCAAAAATGCTGGCATTCTTCCTTCGCCTAACTATGTCCACATCTCCGGCGAACCCCACATCTTCACACAACACACCCACTCATCACCCATGCCATTTCTCCTTCTACATGCACCGCATGCACCACAACCACACTCTCCACTAACCTGTACCACTCTTCGCCACCGCATCATCAACTTCTCCTACGTTCCGCCACTCCCAGTAACTGCACTCACACCATTGTCCTACGCTAACCAAACCCTCCAAACCACTACTGCAATCTGGAAACGTCTGCCTCCCAGCTACATTCTTTTCATCCGTGTGCCAAACATTCAACCACAACCTCCCCATCGTTCTCACCCCCTGCCTCCTGCTCCGCAACACCAGTATATACATCTGTACACGTGTATGTATATACATACTCACACATATATATATATGTATGTATGTGAGTCTCATCTCCTGTATTCCCACTGACTGACCCTCCGTTGCTCACGCGGGGCTTCTCCAGTCTAACATGTACTGTTTCTCAATAAAATACAATCATTGTACATGAGGAGCATCTTCCCTCCCCTATCAATACCTCCACCCCGCCAATGGCCAACCCCTTGCCACTGCTTCACCCGCAATCTCCAGGTCTATATCCACATACACTATACTACACACGGCCCTATCATCCACGCCTACTTAAGGTGCAACTGGGGAGTCCTCCCTACTACTACCTCCATATGATGCTTCCTCTACGTCTTTACAAACTACGACTGATCGACATGCCGCTTTGCTGTACTACCTGCAGCCACTGCTGCTTCACTTCACAGTCCGCTCCTGCAACCCTTCCAGCTCCCAAACAGGGGCACACTCCACCTTCGATCTCGTTCCACCACCTCACCCGAAACGTAGCCCAAACCACCCTCGCCACTGCCCATCCCCTGCCACGCGCATCGCTTACCCCTCAGTCCCCAGTCACCCCCTCGCTCTCCGCTGCACGTCGAAGCTTCCTGTTCCATCAGCTCTTGCGCACTTCCAACGCGTCAGCTATTCGACCTACGCTTGTCAGCAACTTGTCCAGCAACGTCATCAGCCCTTTCCCTTCTTCTATCCGCAGCTCGCGATCGTGGCGCAGCTGCAGCTGCAAGTTCCGGCTCGTGCTTTCCAGCGCAGCCAGCAATTTCTCTTCTATCGATTCCGGTCGCCGCTTCCTCTTCTTCCTTTTCGTCAGGCTCTCTTCCACCTTCGGGCACCCTGCGCACACGACCCCATATGCTTAATCAATGCGTCGCCACTGCATACGTGCCTGGAACTTGGGATGTTCCACAGTTGCAGCACTGCCTGAAAGCTACCCCTCCCTGCCGTAATGTCAACCCACCTAGACAGCTACCCGACTTGACATATCTATCTCCTGTCCCAGTCGCCGCACCATGACAACCCCCCAATCAGCCCAAGAGCCCATCACTTACCCGTCACGTCCGTCGAGTTCCCCAGCCCGCACTCCTCCGACGACGCCGGATTTCCCAGACCCTCCACCTCGTCCACCAGCACGTCCATCTCCTCCTTCCCAGCCACCGCTGCTTCCGAAGTCACCTTCGCCGAAATCGCAGGCAACTTCTTGCAATAGTTGTCCAACACCTCGAACACCTCGTGCTCGAAACTGGAAGCCAGTTTCTGCTCTCTCCGCTGCTCCGCCGTCATGGCCCAGTACGAGCCCCCGTGCAGCTTCTCGTAATCCTTTATCTTCTTGTAGTCTTTGTACAAGCTGTGCCACCTCTTCCGGCACTGGCTCGCGTCTCGCTCTACTCCCAGTTCCTTGCAGTACTGAAATATGGTCACCCACTTCACATCCGAAGCGTCCACCCCCCTGGCCGTGCTGTCCAGAGACTTGTCCAGCTCCTTGCTCTTTGCAGCCACCAGCACCAGCGATTCGTGCTTCGTCCACCGCAGCCCCCTCTGCCCCTTGTCGGGGCCTTCCATCCTCGGCGAAATGCTCACGCTCTTAGTTGGCGCATACCCGAGAGCACGGCTTTCGCCTTCGGTGGTCGCCACGCCACCAGCGACTTCTTGCATGATTCCTGGATGTCACGGTCGTATACCTGCGAGGCCCGCATAACCACTTCAGCCGTTCCGGGTCTCACAAACGCGCCCGGATATGCCCATGGCGCACCCACTTCACGCGGGGAAAACCTGGCGGTTCAACACTGCCCAGCTTGCGTGCATCAGGTCGTACTTGACCATGACCAAAAGCTACCTCCAGGTTTCCTGCTCTGCTGATCCGAGGCAAAGCCCGCAAACTAGTTCCTCCGAGACCACTTACACACGCCCACCCCCATCACAACGTACTTTCCAGCCACCAATTCTACTTCATGGCTTCACACGCCCAATCCACACTAAAAACCCAAAAGCATCAAACAATGAATCCGACCCACCTTTACCAGCGATTGGCGATACAAAAGCGCAATTGGCGTTCCAAACCATGCCGTCCCAAACCACCACAATTCTCTCCCGATTCCCACCTGGACCGCGACGGCACACACCCCTCGTCAATCCGACCACCCCACCCCGACCCAATTCTTGAAACCCGCGCCCAATTCCCAACTTTCCCACGGCTACATCAAAACCCCTGCGATTTCCTCTTCTGTGTACCGCGCGCTCCTCCTCAATACCACCAATTCAATCCCAAAACAACACCACCGCGCCGCCAATTCTCATCCCACGCTCGACAGCCACCAAACTGTGCGCTTGAATGCCACACCCAGCAATAATAACGGTGCTACTGCTCGAAGCAGCCCCAATTCGCATCCCTCCCCTGCGCTCTCACGGGTCGCTCCACACAAACGCAATCGTCCACCAAGACACACCCCCAAATCTCCTCCGATTCGCACCGATAAACCCAATTCAGGCCGAGCCCGATCCACTACTAGGCGTCGCCCGGCCAATCCATAACCCACGCAGCACAATTCAAGGACCACTCTCTCAATTCCAAAAGGGTGTAGCGAAATTTACCTCAGCGCAGATTGCAGCCCGGGTCCATGCGAATTGTACCTCACTCATACAGCAAGCGTCGTCATCCTCCACCAGAAAAGGGTCCGCGGATTGCAACGGCAGAGGATCACCAGCACGAGGCGATGCATGGCATGAATTGGAAGAGCATCACGTGGAGGAAAGAGGATGCAAGCGTGCTCCCCCAAACACAGAGAACCCTAGTTTTCATCATCTTCGATTCCGGCATCTCCCTCCTCACTGTGTAAGGAGTTTCAAGTCAAGGACTTCAACGAAAAAGCAAATCCCAAAACACCCTTCCCTCCTCGTCACTACGTGTCGCAGAAACCTCCTTATTCAATCGACTGGCTCCGCCATCGTGGACCGTCGGATCGCAGCTGCGGCTCGGTTGCAATCTCAACCGCTGATGAGATTTCTGGGAACGGAGGGAGGAAACGTAGGGGAACCAGAGGGGCGGGCAGGTTGGAGGCCGGGCAGTATGGAGGGCGGTAGGTTGGGAACTCAGAACCCACTCCTCATTGGGCCCGCACTGAATCCACATTCACAGACATGAATGCTGAATTTTGTATAATATAAATATATAAGTATTTAAAAATGTGAATATTACACGATATATACTTTTAATTTTTAAATATATTTTTGAAATATATATGTTTTTAATTTTATTTAATTTTAAACAACTTTTTAGAAAATGTAATTTTGAATTAGTATTTTTTGTACATTATCTTATTGAACACAATGTTTTTTTAAATGTTTAAAGGTAATTGTAGCACTATTTATTTTCTAAAAATAGAAAATCTATACTATTTGATTGGGGCAGTAGTAGTAATTGAAACAGATTGCTTGCCATTGCTTGGAATGATTATTAAGTGTTCAACGCCAGATATTGCAATGTTGAGTTCGATTGCTTATATTAAGTCACTAAATCCAGAATTTAAGCATTTTACTGAGAAGGACAATTTAGTAGCAGACATGCTATCTCGAGCAAGATACGAGAGGGAGGACGAAATGGTTGAAGACATTGATGATGTCGGATTGAAATTCTATTCAATATCAAATCTCAACAGAGAAGACAAGCTATTTCTTGAAGAATCTTATGAAGGAGAATTATTGGATATTGGTCATTACTTGAATACCTTGACTAAGCAGGGGAATTGGTCTATAGAAAAATTCAAACAAATAAGAAAAAAAGCATATGGATTTTTACTTCGACATGGATTCTTATGGAAGAGACCGAAGAAAGGAATTGGGATGCCACAACGAATGATAGGCAAAAGAGAAGAAAAACTAAAATTATTAAAGGAGTTTCATGATAGTTTATGGGCAGGGCATAGAGGAATCTAGGCTACTTTTGTTAAACTCAAGGAACGATATTGGTGGAAAAATATGTATCGAGATGTGCTCTCATTTGTAGAGTCATGTGAAATCTGTCAATCGTATTCTAATATCCGACATCGAGATGGTCTTCATCCTACGTATCCTCTGGCTATTCATATTAAATGGGTTGTTGATTTGGTTATTATGCCGGTTGGGTTATGGCAGATGAGATATTTGGTTTTAGCTCATGAAGATTTATCAAATCAAGTAGAAGGAAGAGCATTGAGGACAAAATCTACAGAGGGGATTTGTAGGTTTTTGCTTGAAGATGTCATTTGCCACTACAGATGCGTAGGAAAAATCACTGCAGATCGTGGAGAATTAAATGCACAAGAAGCTCATAAGTTCTTTGAAAGATGTGGAGTTTAACTATCACTGACTACTGGTTATAATCCAAAAGGGAATACAAAAAGCGAACGCGGTCACCCATCGATTGTGAAAGCATTAGTTAAAGCTTGTAATGGGAAAGTTAAAGAGTGGCCACAGCTTTTGTCATTTGCATTATGGGCTGATCGAACAACACATAGTTTGGTGACAGGATATATGCCAGTAGAACTTATGACAGGTCAAAAACCAATTATGCCGATTGAAGAAAAGGTACTTACTTGGAATATGCTACCATGGGAAGATGGATTGACAAGAAAAGAACTTCTAGCTATTAGGATTCGACAATTGGAGCAAAGAACGGAAGATGTGCAGATAGCATTGGAAAGGTTAAAAAGAGCAAGGTTACAAAACAAGGCGCGATTCGATAAGCAACATCGATTGAGACCAAAAGCAATCGAGGAAGGTGACTGGGTACTTGTTTATGATAATAGTCTGGATGATCAATATAGTACTTTGCGGAAATTTTCAAAACGTTGATTTGGACCATATGTTATAACAACTATTCATGATAATGCGACTTACTCATTACGGGAGTTAGATGGTACAAAATTGAAAATACCAATTGTAGGAAAGCGAGTATAAATATTTAAACGAAGACACGCGGAGATGAATATGGAAGACCTTAATGAAGGTACAGAGATTCCGCAGCAAGAAGATGAAAGTGATTTGGATAATGAAGGTGACGAAGACGAACTGGACAAAGACGTAGGGGATATATTCTGAATCAAACAGCAATTGGGTAAATTGGTGCATACCGGAGGATGCACAGGTTCAGAGGGGGTGGATGTCGTGTTGTAACATGAGTATATAGTGAAAATAAAAAGAAAGGGGAATTTTATTAATATTCAGTTACCTCGAATATTGGGAGCATCGACCAACTCCAGTATAAATACTGAGTGGTCAGGTTCAGTCACTCCGTTACAGTCAGCCGGGGCATACTGAAATGCTCCATTCCATTCCAATAACGGGAGTGAGCAGGAAGAGAAGGACCAATTCACAGGACTGGTTCGAGGAGCCAATTGGATCCAATTTCGATAATCCAATCCGGGTCCTCTTATCTAATATGAGACCTGAATTGGCCGGTCAATCCAATGCAGTCTAGTTACGGGAAAATCCAGGTCTTACTACAGGCCTCAGCCAGTCTGACGCGAAGACCAATTTGACCCAATTACGCGAGCATCCAGGTTACTATGGGCATCTTACCCAATATGGGACCTGAATTGGTCGGGTGACTCAATGTGGTCCCGATTACGGGGTTTTGATTCTGTTTCGGGCTGTCCTGTTCTCTGTGTGCCGTTTCAGAGAACGTTGTTTTCGGTAAATGGATTTCTTAAAGGTAAAAACAGAGGAGAAAGCTCTGACGGCGAGAGCCAATTTTGGATCCAAGCTTGACGGCGAGAGCCAATTTCAGATCCAAGCTTGAGGTGGGAGCCAATTCCGGATCTAAGACGGAAGATTGAAGAAATTCAGAGGATAAGGTTAGGGGAGAATATAGTTTTAGGGAGGGAGGTTTTTTTTTTTCGGGGGGAATCGGGGGGGAGCTAGTTTTCAAGCTTTTGCAAGGTTACCAGTTCGGTTTCATTGGAGGGTTTTGAAGATCAAGGGAATTAGAGAGAGGAGCTTCATGCTTCGGGTCGGGGAAGGAAAGACATAGAATTTGGATTTTTCTTCTTCGTAGAGTTTTGGAAAGACTGAGGCAATCGCTGCTGAAGTCAGTGTTGTAATGGTGAATCGGGATTTTTAAATGAAGTGGGTTTGAATACTCTTGACTGTTTTGTAAAATCGAGTTATGTCTGTGATTGAAGGATTAAAAGGGTGTCTATAGGATTGAGTATGCGGAATGAATGAAATTTATTAGGTTAATCTAACAGGACAGTCAGTGGATACAAGATCGTAAGTACAAAAGGGTATTGAAGATTAACAGTTTGGGTTGTTCGGGGTTCTCTGTAACGTCTAGAGACCTACCGACTGGGGCAAAAAAAAAGACTTCGACAAGAAGTCGAAGAGCATCCGTATAGATTTACGGTACATTGTTGCAGTAGTTTATATTCCAGCAGTCAAAAACTGATAGACTGCTTGACTATCGGTGAATCTCCATACTACCTTCTACAGCCAGACGTCCGGCGCGTTCTCGAGCAGGAAAGCACGTAATACGACAGCGTAAAGCTTTAATGGCTGGTTATTGGTGGCCAATAATGTTTTCGGATGCTCACAAATATGTTCGTCATTGTGATCTTTGTCAACGAATTGGTCGACCTACTGGAACTTCTGCCATGCCCTTGGTACCAGTTTTGGCGCAGGCACCATTCGAAAAATGGGGTATTGATTTCGTCGGACCAATTGCACCTGCTTCTCGGAATGGACAGAAACGTTATATTTTAGTAGCCACCGATTATGTCACCAAATGGGCGGAGGCTACGGCAACAAAAACTGATAATGCCACTACTGTAGCAACATTTTTATATGAGAACATTATCACTCGTTTTGGTTGTCGGAAAGAATTGGTTAGTGATCGTGGAACCCATTTTATTAATGCAACCATTGAAGCATTGACAACGAAGTATGAGATCAAACATCGAAAAACTACCCCTTATCATCCATATGCCAATGGGCAGACCGAAAAGACCAACGGTATCCTTTGTAAAATCTTAACAAGACTATTTCAGGAACGGAAATCGATTGGGATACTAAATTATTTACAGCATTGTGGGCATATCGAACTGCGTATAAAGTAACGACCAATTCCACACCTTTTCAATTGGTATACGGGCAGGAGGCCATCTTACCAATAGAATTGGAGGTTCCCAGTTTAAGAATTGCATTGGAAGAACGGTTGGGTAACAAAGAATCTCTCCAATATCGGTTAACAGAATTGGAAAAATTGGATGAGATTAGGGCTTCGGCTTTGATGACCATGGAAGCTATTCAGCGTCGCCAAAAGAGTTATTATGATAGTAAACTCCGCACAAAATCATTTATGCCCAATGATCTTGTCCTGCTGTACGACAGCCGTTTTCATAATTTTCCGAGAAAATTTAAAATTCGGTGGCATGGACCCTATCGCGTATTGGCCGCTTTTCCTAATGGTTCCGTCCAATTAGAAGATTTCACGGGAACCAAATTCACAACCCGTATCAATGGAAACCGACTACGCCTGTATTACACATAAACCCGGGGGCAGGTTTATCAAGATTGGAGGGGGCAGACGTGCCGTTCATGATGACTTGCCTGCCATCATAAGTGTCTAATCGGAGGCAAATGACGGCGATTGATTAGTGTATTAGAACATCAGCAATTAAGATTAGGGATTCTTGTTTCATAACTGGGTAAACAGTTAGGAGAGGGGCACTCTGTGTAGCTGTCTTCAGTATTTTGTCTAGAATTATTGAAGAATAGTTCGTTAGTGGAGAGTTCACGACAAATCATAGTATTAGTGTGAATACGCAGAGATTTATAATGTCGAGGGAGAAGGTGAAGAGAGCCTCGGAGAAGGAGGAAGAGGGTAGAAGGGTGAGGTCAAGGAGTAATA